TATATATATATATATTCACACACTTCTGATTCCAGTCGGTGATATTTCTAAAAAATAGAAACGTTCCTTTTAGAGATAAAATGCAGGTGCTTATGTAATAAACATGCTTCATAAACGGCAATTAAAACTAGTTAAGAACACAAAAATATTGCGACCTGTAAGGACGAACGGGATCACCACGTACGACGACTAAACAGTTCAGTTCGGTTCAGTTTGCACAACCTGCAAGATAAGGTTTACACGTGCATCAAGATGGTGTGACTCATCGAGACAAGTGAGCGTAAGTAAATGAGGTGCACCTGGTAAAATAGCGTATTCTGAGTGATAGAGGACTCGTAAACAAAAGGTGAAGACACTGTTACTGCACTTCGTGTTGTTGTGGAGTATCTAATCTCGTTAGTCGTGTGGGTGACTACGGTCCGTCGTACGCTCTCCCTGCATGATCCCATNTCAACCAAATAACGCTGGAATAAAGCAGAACATGGTTCGCTGCAACTATCGTTGCACATCAGAACTGGCTAAAGGATATTTGCATTATAGCACGAGGGCAATACAAAACAACGAACTCAGTAACTTGCAAACCAGCGAAAGTATATCGTGGTGTACGGAAAGATGTAGCCTGCCTGATACAAATATCATCACGCGTTGGAACCGAACAGGGATAAATTGTAGAGGAAGGTGATGCATGGCAGATTTCACAGATTAATTGGAATTCTTGCCTTTGTCTTGAGACTTTTATTTCACTGACCATAAAATCACCTTGACTGCGGTATGCACGTGTAACGGAGCAGCAAAATAAACATAGATAATTTGTGCAAACCCATGTTTCTGGCTTCTCTTCCATTTTTTGACCCGAGAGCACTGTTTTCAGTAAGCGACATCATTAGCCGTGAGGCGTAAAATGATAGTTAGCAACTCCGAGTCCTATGCGTTGTCGTTATTCTGTACCAAAGCTAATACTAGCAGGAACTATTACACCAAGCTGTAGTTCGCACATTGTCAACTAGGGTACCTAGACCCGTGATGATAAAGCATTTAAAACGAAATTTCTATTTGGTACTACTCCCGGCTTTTTATCTCACCAACTCACATGTTTCGTCACTGTTTGCCGCTACCCGAACCGGGAAACTGGAAGTACCAATTAATCGTTGTGCAGTCAAAAGGGAATTTGGCACATACGTCAACTTGCTTTACAAAATTATCAAGAAAATCTTAAATGATTTGGTGATTTTTACTGTTACTCACTTCTATTCACGAAGCATACGATACATGTTAGTTTTCTTGTTCCGTCTCCCGCAGATAGTTTGTTAGCAAACAGGCTGTGATCGTTAAGTGACCCCCAGAAAGAAGATCTGCCCCCAAAGCCTCATCATGATCTGCCTGGTGCTTCCCATAATCTTGTTGATCTTGTGGAAATGTGTGGTTCCCTTGGTTCTTATCCTTCTCAACTATACTGTGGGAATATCAATGTTTTCAAAGCGCCACAATTTGAAAAAAGCCGGCGAATGGGCGATCGTTACCGGTGCTACAGATGGAATTGGGAAGGCATATGCGCAAGAACTGGCCCGCGATGGCCTTAACATCATGTTGATCAGTCGAAATATGGAGAAACTGGAATCCGTAGCCAAAGAGATTCAAGATGCCCACAATGTGAAGACGAAAGTTGTTCAGTGCGATTTTACACAGGTAGGTTGTGTGCCCAAGACGCTCTAATCGACATTCATTCTGAGTTGATTCTCTTTCTTTTTCCTAATGGATGAGTATTACAAAATACCTGCAAAGCTGGACAACTGATTCAATTATTTTATCACAAATTGTTCTTTGATGTTATTTTTTAATCTGAATTGGTGTCACCTTAATGATTTGTTTCATTGTATCAACTAATCCTATCATGAAGGAGGAAGTTAACCGGATACTATCAATATTATTTTATTTCACACGTTTGAGTCCAGACTGTGCCCAACAAATCGCGGTACAATAATCTTTTTAACAAGGAAAGGTTCCATAATTTTCCCGTGGGCGAGATACTGCTAGGTTTCCTGCGACAGAGCCGATACATCTTTTGAGGAATTCACAAAGCCTGACCCCCAAGGCAGTGGGGCAGTGTGTGGAAACTGTTGTCCGTTGAGCACCGGTGTCCAGTTCATCAGATCATTCATTCTTAGGACCGAGTCAAACGTCGAAGGCACCTGGTACACCTGGATGCCCGATCGAGCTGGTGACTACCGCCACAACCAGGAAGGTGTGGTTCTAATACTTCTTGGTTTAATCGAGGTTTTAGCTACCCCCTCCCCTCCTAGGTGAATTACCAATGGTTCACCGACTCAGTAATGACCCCGAATGTTGGCTTTTCGTTCTCACTTTGTTGGAAAAACGCCTTCATCAAGGGAGGGTACTAAACAGAGCTTCGTAAGCAGATTCTACTTAAGACGCTCGGTCGTATACGAGCACTTCGCGAGGTGCAAAGGAGGAGTGACCGGCTACAACTTAAAACACCCATCTCCGGCCTTGTGTAAGAATAGCGGTATCGATACGCTCCCATTTGGCAGACTGTCTGATCTCTAGTATGCACACGACATTGTACTGCTAGGTGAGTATATAGATAAATTACAGACTTCTGAATGGTTTGACCATTAGTATAACCATGTTTGACATGCGGCTTACACCTTCAAAGCCTACATTATTCCTACAGCACGGTTTTATCTCGTCAAACTATCACAGAACCCGGTCATACGATGCGTGTCCCAACG